TGATAATTCTATATGTGATAATGATATAATTCGACACGAAGACACACACATATATATATATAGATATATATATATATATATATATATATATATATATATATATATATATATATATATATATATAGGGGAAATGAGTGATAACCCCCTAGTTTTGAAAATATATATAAGGAGGCCCAACAAATTTTTCTGCTCTAGTCAAAAACCCAAATTCTGATCTTAATTAGTGAGACCCCCTAGACAATTTGAAGTACCTATTTTACCCTTTTTAGTTTTAATTCAATATATGCCCTAACCCTTCAAATCTTCTCTCTTCCAACTCATACCGCCGTTCTTTCCATCCCTCTTCATCTCTCCCTCAGTCCCTCTTTCTTACTCTCTCTCGCCGTTCTACCGGCGGGCGAAGGTGTCGCTCGGTTTGAGGGCGTCGACGGAGATGGATCGGGCGAACGTGAAGCTGTGAGCTTTTCCGACAACATTGCTGCCACGTGGCACTAAAGCCGGAGAGAAGGAGGAAACGTACCTCGAGGATCTGTACAATGGCTGCTGCTGCTTGGATTCAGAAACCAGGCGTCTGAGTATTGCTCTGTTCACTAATTTTCGGGCACGCTCCATTTTTTTTATTTTTTTTAAAGACTGTAAATTATGCTATGATTTCAATTCTATTTAGGGAGGAAGAATCAATTAAAAAAAATTCCATAAATAAAGAAAGTGGGTGGTGGTAATGGGTTGTTGATGAATGATGATGAAGACACACTTTCTTTATTTATTTTTAATATGTAATATACAAATAATAATTATTGAATATTTACTTTAGTATAATGGGGATTTGAATCTTTGATCTTGATGTATGCTATTGTTTCAATATATATTATTTTTTATACAGTACATGCATACACAACACCAACTTGTAGAAAAAACTAATCTTTTCTGCATATAATAAATTGCTGAATTTGATAGTATTAGTATTTTATGTGCAACAGTTTTGAGCGGTCGACGAGGAGCTTGCGGTGGCCAGGTGTGGCGACGGGGAAGGGTTTCATAGGGGTGGATTTTCTCCTTTTTTTTTATTTTACGTTTTATTTTGGTTTGGGATCGAACCGAGCCTGCTTTTAGTGTTCCAGTTTCGATAGATCGGAGTGTCG